TGTGCCTATTATGTCATATTCTTCTTCTTTACAATAGTTAATCCACATATATTGTTTGGTTGGGTCATTAAGACCACATATATTGTGTGCCATTATGTTTAAAGCTCCACACTAAAGCTCCACACGAGCCAGCTTGAGCCAAGCTTGGTCAAGCTCGAGCCAAGCTCACTCAAAAAATGCTGGCTTGAGCCAAGCCAAGCTCACTAAAAAAAATGTTGGCTCATTTCAAGCCAAGCCAGCTTGGTTCACCCAAAAAATCACTGACTTGAGCTGAGCCAAGCCTGTAAATAGCTTTCTTGGCTCATGCGTTGGCTTGGCTTGTTGGCTTGCAAGCTAGCTCATTTCAAGCTAAAGACACCTGCTGTAATTGGTTATTTGTAGCAATGGAACTACCATTTGGTAGTTACCATTATAAAATAGATACAGCTGCTGCAAATATTTATGGCTGCTGCAAATAATTACAGCTACAAATAGATACAGCTGCTGCAAATAGTTATGACTGCTGCACATAATTATGACTGCTGCAAATAATTACAATTTTTATTTTACATTGTAAATGAACAACCTGACTGACCAATTGAATTCATCCAAAAAGTTAATTACAATCACAAATAATTCAAGAAAATTTTCTTATGAATATAATATGACTAATAATACTAATGACAATAATTATATTAATCTTGAAAATTATTTCCAGCAGCCATAATTATTATGGCAGCCGTAATTATTATGGCAGCCGTAATTAGGGCTTCTATTCAAATAAGGTTTATTCAAATTATTCACTTTATTTGTTATGAATTTGAGTATTTGAATTACATTGAAAGTTTATTCGAATAAATTTTAATTCAAATAAAACGAATAATTCAAATAAGAAAATTGATTCTAATAAGGAAATTAATTTGAATAAAAAAGTAATTTGAATAAAACGAATAATTCAAATAAGAAAATTGATTCGAATAAGGAAATTAATTTGAATAAAAAAATTAATTTGAATAAGAAAATTGATTTGAATAAGGAAATTAATTCGAATAAGGAAATTAATTTGAATAAAGCAAATAATTCGAAAAAATTAAAGAGATTGTATGTTCAAATATTTGCAAATAACAAGATCCCAAGTTTCCAAATAAATGACTGAAAGTTTTTAGACAATAAAACGAACAGGATTTATTATCTTTCTCCAAAGATCAAAATTTCAAAATGCTATATTTAAAAATTTTTTTGGTCAATCATGATCATCACCATAGCGGATTTCTTGGATTTTTTTGGCTGGTCCCATCAATCCGCTGCGACGAGGTTTGACTGTATATTCTTTCATTTTACAATGTTCACAAGCGTGATTTCATTACTAAATTTAGACTAGTTTACAACCAGCATATCTAAATTTGGCAGTAAGGAAAATAATATTTGCATTTTTGAGTTTGTAGCGCAGCAGTGTGAGGTCTTTAAACTGAGCCAACCATATAATAACAAGCAATTAATTGATCTGCACCGTACTAAATAAAATTATAACGTATTAGTATTATTATTATTTATTATGCATATTTCGAAATTTTATATAATTATTTTTTAAACAATATTAATATTCAAAAAAATGACATCAAAAAATCCTATTTCTTTAACATCATTTTCGCAATCTTCATTTAATAACAATGACTCTTCAACAGATTATTCAACAATAATAGAGTTAAAACAACCTTCATGGGAAGCATTAAGAAAACAAGTCCGTCAATTAGAAAGTGAAATTGAGCAGAAATTAACTAGTTATTCTAATTTGATTGCACAAGTTAGTAAAAAAAAACCTGGATCTAGTAATGGTAGTCAGAGTAATTTAACAAATGATGGATTAATAGAGAGTTCAAGTGAAGTAGCAGAATTGCATCTGGAAGAATTAATAAACAAGGTGAGATATTTTATCCTTATTTTTTTTCTTCCTTTGATTTTTTATTTATTTTATTATTTTATTTATTAGTTGAAAATATGTGTAAATGCCATGTCAAATATTGTTAAAAATGAATCAACAAACACTTCATCTATTAATCATATACTTAATAGACATAAAGATATTTTATTTGACTATTCAAGAGAATTTCAAAAAATAAAGGTAAATATAAATATATATATAAATATAAATTGAACAAATATATAATTTTAATTCATTTTTAATTTCAAAGATGAATTTAGAAGCTGTGAAAAATAAATCTGACTTATTAAAATCTGTTAGAGATGATATTAGGTATTTAGACAATTTTTTAAAAATTGATAAGATAATAATAATCTCATCAAGATTGATTTTATGATTTTTTTCTTCCAAAAGCTCTTATAAATCAGGTGCCAGTAGTGAAACGGATTATTTTTTAAGGGAGCGTGGTAAAATTGAAAATTCAAATAAAATGACTGATATGATTATTGAGTAAATATATTTATTATAAATAGTCAATGAATTATTTAATTTTTTTGCTAACCAAAATTATTTACTTATTTTATAGACAAGCATTTGAGACAAGGGATGCAATCGAAAGAGATAGAGCTATTTTATTAAATTCAAATAGCAGAATTAGAAATTTAAAAAGTATTTATTTTTAAAAAAAGTTTTTTGATTAATTATTGTATTTATTTTCTAATTTACTGACTTTTTAAAATTTTTTTAACAGATATTTTCCCTAATATTAATAGTTTAATAGGGAAAATAAATAAAAGGAAGAGACGTGATGTTATAATATTAAGTCTAATAATTTCTTTTTTTATAATTTTATTATATTTATATCTTAATGTTTAATGTATCATCAATCTGATGGGAGGATGCATCGGGGAGGATCTAATTTAACATGTAATTTTCATTTAATAATAAATATTAAGGATTTAAAACTGTTTTTAATTCTACAAAGCTACTTATGCTCACAGAAACAATTAAGCCATTCATTGATCAAATAAAGAAATGTCAAACCTAATCTTGAGTTGTGATTATACTTTGTTGGATTCAAGAAAGAATTTTTCATTTATTATATATAGTGTATTTGATTCAAATCATGGATTCAAATCAGTTATTATTATAGATTCAAATCAGTCAGTTTGAATCAAATCAAATTCAGGATTTTGGGACACTAAATAAATGTATTGTTTGCTTTAGTTTTCCAAAATATTCTTCAAAAGGATTATGCATTACTTGTACTTTTTATTTTGAAAATAAGATGATCCACAATTTACCTTTTAAAATCAAATATATCAGATCAATTAACAATAAACAGATTCAGACAATTGACCAGGTGAATTTAATCCAATCTGCACTATCCATAATCTATCAGTATCCAAAATTTAGAGAACTTCAAAAGGAAGGCATAAAATCATTTGTTGCTAATAATGACACAATGATTTTATTACCTACTGGTGGTGGAAAAACATCGTGTTATCTATTTCTGCATTAATTGGAAAAGGTTTAACTGTGGTATTTTCTCCATTAAAAGCTTTAATTGATGATCAATTGGTAAATAAATATTACTATTATGCATTTTATTAAAAATAAAAAAATAAAATATTAATGATTTCTTATCTCATTAGGCTGAGGCATTCTTGCTGGCATTCCAAATGCTGGGATATATGCTACAACAGGACAGTCATCAGGATATCAATCTAAAGTATTTGAAGAAATTTCAGCAAGATTTACTAAAATACTTTTTGTAACTGCTGAAAGATTCAACCTGAATCCAAGCTTTAGGGCAATGTTAAAAAGAATTTATAAACAAAAAGGACTTCACTTTGTAATAGATGAGGCATAGTAGCATATGAAAATTTCAGGTAATATAAATTTAATAAAATTTATATTAAATAAAAATTAAATGAAAATCTAACATATATCACTGTAGAAAATCATGGAAAAACCTTGGTCAATTGAAACAACATTTTCCAAATGCTTATTTAATTCTATACGGATTTGGCAGTGATAATTAGCCCACTGTTGTTCAATCTGGAAAAATTCATTATAAATTTCTTCACTGCGAACTCTACCACTCTGCCTCAATGCCCTCTGATACCATCTATCAAATGCATTTTGGGTATTAAAAATGAAAATGGCAAGATAAGGAGGGTTACACCTCTGACTCTAAAAAAAGTGGATAGAAAATTTAAAAATTGATAAATGTAAATGTAAATGTAAATATACAATACATTGCGAAGGATGGCTTGATGTTGAGTTATAGATCGATCAAGACAGCGAACTTGAGAAAATACATGAGGGACATGTGAAGGTGGTGGAGGTAGGCAATCATATACTCTTGATCTTCTTCTATGTACCATCTGTAATTAGAAAAGAAATGGGGAAACAGTTAGTCAAAGGACTAAGCAATTATATATAA